CACTAGCTGTGAACATTCTAAACTAATACGAATCTCATTAAGTGTCCAGTTTAAGGGTATTACACAGAAACATACCAAGGGAACATGAATCAAATATGCACTTTTATTCATTTACAATAAACTCATAAAATACATCATTCTGATTGAAGCTAAGGGCATACAAAACTGTCCAACATCTAATCCAGTGCAATGTGATTCCATTATAAATGTAATAGGTTTAATTTAACCCAATGTATGTTTTGGACTAATTTTGACGGGTTCAATTTAATGTTTGGACTGTTCAATTTAAATTCATTTTGCTTTAGATTGGTCTCAATCCAAATTCCGTTCATTAACACATACATTCTTATCTTATATCAATGGACTAGATATTGGCTTAATCCAACTTAATCCAATATAAATTTGTTACGAATGGATTAGGTCCGATCCAATTTAACAAATATTTTGGATTGGATTGATCCAATCCAATATGTCTTGTTGGTCTATCCAATCCGTCCAAATTGATTTTGGACTGGATGGGGTCCAATCCAAAAATGGTCAATTGGCACCCTTATTCATATGGGGAAAGAAACAAGATTCGATTACCCCTTTCATGATACTAATTGATTATGGGGATGTTCGGTTCCATTTACGTTTATTGAAAAAACGGTGCCACCTCAAAGCCATATTAGCATTTGGCACAATAAACGTTTATTGGCTTCAAAACCACTGTTTGGTACACGCATTTATTAAAAAAACACAAAAAAATGTTTCAGCGTTTATTTTTATAGATTTTCGTGAAATTAGTCGTTAGGGGAAGTGAGAATTTCTCACTTCCTCCAACGGCTGTGTGTTTCATGAAACATTGTGTTGACATGGATCCTACGTGTCGGCTGAAATGGCGCACTTAAGTTTTGATCCAGTGCAACCCGAATCTACCATCCCAATATGTTTTGTTTCTCTCATCGATGACCTAAGTCTTAAAGCACAAACCAGAGAAAGGAATCTTCACCGCCCGTAGAGAAAAACACCCTAGCGACGATTGGAGAGAGGAGCCTTCGCCAGAGGGAGGAGTAGTTGATGCCGGGAAGGTCTCTGTTTTCTCCTAACATTTGGTTTTCCCTAACCTTCAGCAAGGTCTCTGATTTTTCTCTCTGTTTTCTTTGATCCCAGGGAGAGAATTTCTCGTATCTACAACAATCAAAGGCAAAACAGAGGGTATGTTTTAATCTATGAGATCTAGGGTTATTTTCTATTTTCGTCCATTATTATGCTTGTGCTATGCTTCGCAAATACAGTATCCAATGAACATCTTTGAGTTCATGGTAGTTATCTTCAAGATTGAAATGGAAAAACACATTGGGTCATGCCGGCTCCAGTTTCCAAAGTATCAGTTTTGCTTTGCCAGTTTCTAATTAACTAGCTGGAACTTGGGTACATGGGGTAAGACTGAAGAGTGAAGAACCATTTCTCTAAGCTCAAGTCCAGACTGTCCAGTGCACGGTACGGCAGGCTTTAGAGCTTAGAGATATATGGGCTTCCTCAGACATGGCCATACCAGATTCATTTCAGCAAAGGATCGAATCTGGACGACCCTTTGCCTGATCGATGAATCAATGAAGAACTCCCCACTAGGCAGTGTTTAATTGTTCAGATAGGGGATGGTTGTTAAAGAACAAAGACAATGCTTAATTGTTCTTAGTCTGAGACCGGCCGGATCTCCTTCAAGCCAAGAACTCACCTGGACTACTACTTTCCCAGTTTCTCTAGCTAGTCCCCAAGCCAAGTCCAAATTGATCTACCTTGCCAATGGTATCTTTGTTATTCAAAAGAAAAAAAAAATGTGATCCGATAAAATGTTGGAAAGAAGAGAGATATTAGCAACTTTACATTTCAGAAATGTAAAACAATTCCGTGTTGTTTTGCTCAGTTTTCTTTTGAATAGCAATAATAGCCATCATTCCCTTATAGGTAACAAAGAGAGAGAGAGAGACAAAGTGGAAGTGTCATATATCCACCGTTGGATGTAGATTATATCATATATTAACTGTTGGATCTGAAAATCGGTCTTCAAATTCAAGCACATGTAATGCATCCTATACACCACAATGAAAGTGTCACACTGAATCATCCATATGGCTGTTTCTTGAAACGTGCCACCAAACAGCATGAAATGGAAAAAGGTTTATTGTTGCTGAATTGTAAAGTGGCGTTTAACCCAAAATAAGCTTAACAAAACAACAAAAAGAAAAACATTTAAAGTGGGTGTTTATCAGATAAACGTTTTTTTGATAAACGCCCACCCAATTAACATAAACAGAACCAAACACATAATATATCATAGCTGAACCCATTGACATAATATAATATATTGGCTTAACTAGAGTGTGAAAATATAATGGTGAGGAAAAATCTCAGCCTCTTCCTTTCACCTTTTATAACAAAACCCATATTTGATCTAAATACTTTTATTTTGAGTTCTTGATGTCCATTTTGAATATCCAACGTAATAAAATCCTTTGGTCTTTTTTACCAAAAAAACTTAGTACTTTTATTAATTATGGGGATAATATAGACTGCACTTCTCCTCAGAAATTTGAAATTAAAGCCCTCTCCTAGTCTACAAGTAGTCCCCTTTATAAACCGCATCTGCCCGTGAGTTTAACATCGGTTCATGGTCAGGATTCATTCCACCTGTACAGTGGAGTTAAGATTTTTAAGGGTGGTCTGAACGGTAAAAACCCCTTTATTGTATACTAATATTGTAATGTCGTAAGACTAAGACTGAACAAAAAACCCAAATGCTCATTGGTTCATGATTTTATTAGTAATCGTGGTTAGCCCATACAACTCATAAAAACCACTATTTAACTAGGACCCAAAAAGATAATTGGTCCAAATAATAGTAAATCATCTATAAACAATAATTGGATCTTGTCTAGAAATGGTTTGGACAAGAAGTAAATTA